TGGGGTAATCCTGCCACTGTATAAATCATTGGTGAGACCATACTTAGAGTACTGTGCACAGTTCTGGTCATCACAGTACAAAACGGATATTAGAGAAATCGAGAAGATGCAGACGAAGCCAACCAAAATGATTGAGGGAATGGAAGGACTGGACTATGAGAAGTGACTAAGTAAACTGGGCATATTCACGCTGGAAAAGAGAAGACTGAGATTGCTGTCTTTAAGATTCTAAATAGGCCAAACAATTTAGTTCATGACAGGCTGTTTCAACTTGTCCAGAATAGTAAAAGCAGAGGACACGGCCTGCGATTCAAGGGGGTAAATTCAGAATGAATCTACACAAATTATTTCAATGAGCAAATAGTGATCCTGTGGAAAAGGCTCCCTTGGGAGACAGTTGAAGCAGGAAGTGTTGGTCCTTTCAAACACAGATTAAATAGTTCTTTTAGGAAATAACATTGTGGGATTATAGTACATAGGTAGTTTAGGACATAGTTCCAGTTAATTGATGAGATAGTATTCCATTAAAACCCTTTGTTTGCTGTCAGTGTGCATTAGAATACTGTATTCTGCATTAAGAGTCAGATCCACCACTGTTTGTGGGACGCTGTTGTGCGCAATTGGCTGCCGAGTTTCACCCACAAAATATACAGTCAATTCACTTTACAGCATATTCTGTGAAGCGCTTTGAGACGGCTCAAAGACGTGAAAAGCGCTATATCAAATGCAAGGATTTTTATTATTATTATATGCGCCTGTGACTGCCAGGAAGGTGGAAGGCGAACCAGATGCACCTTTACTGTTTTTTTCGTCTAACATTCCTTATGTTCTTATATAAGAAGAAGGACGTCCTCCTGACGTGAAAGGTGCTATACAACTGTAATCTTGTTGTTGTTGTTCTCGTGAGAAGGATCTTAATAACCGATTGATGTAGAGACATGATTTATACCTAATCGGAAAGGTCTAGCAACTAGGAGTGACCTGGGCATATTTGTTTTTGGGTATCTCCTATCGTACATGAGTTATTTTCAATGTTGTATTTTTCACTGCAGTTACATCTGGTGGCCCCTGAGTCAAAGAAGTACTGTGGCATTGTGTGTCACAGAGCATCTACTGCAGTTACACCTGGTGGTCATGCCGACCCAAAAGGAATCCTCCCACAGGAGTCCTCCCAGAGTATAGATTAAGATGAAATATCTGTCTGCGTGTCTGTCTGTGTGTCAATCTACAAAAACAGCTAAATTACATTTGTATAGTGCCTTTCACATTGGGTGGACGGCCCAAGGCACTGGACAATTAATGTTTTGGACCTTAGCTTGGGGTCGGGTTTGGGGAGTGTAAAGGGCAGGAAGGGAAAGCACGGTTGAAAAGGAGGTCTTGAGATGGGTCGTGAAGGAGGCAAGGGAGGGGGCGAGGCGGAGGAATGGAGTTCCAAAGGGTGGGGGCAGAGTAGCAGAAGGTCCGTCTGCCAATGGGGAGCGTGAAGTAGGCTGGAGTGAGTGGAGGGAGCGGGCAGGATGGTATGGGGTTAGGAGGTCGCAGAGATAGAGGGATGTGAGGCCATGAAGGGCTTTCAATATTCCATATTGGGTCCTTTGGTTGCAAGTAAAGCTATAACAGGTATAGCTAGTTACTATTTATTGGTCTGGACTTCTGTCTAACCTAACAAATAACGTTATGAGTGTCACCCTCTCTCCATCACCTCTGCTGTCTCTAACCTTCTCCATGCCCGCGGGTTGACCATGTTCCGCTGACTGCTCGCTACAATTCCAGGCATGCGCGTTGTGGCTGCCCCCACCAAACCAAGCCATACTCCCCCCACCCCTCCCCCTCCCCCCTGAAAAAAAATGTCCCAAACTCTACTCCCTATTCCGCGATATACAACCTCCGTTCTGCTCTCCTATTGCCCTCCTAACCCCATACCATCCTGCCTCTCTCTCCTGGAATCATCCACTACCTCCCTCTATTGCAGCCTGGGTATCCTCCGCTGTGGTCATTGGGGTACCCGTTGTTGGTTGTCCCAGAGCAGAAACCTGACTGCCCCATTGCCCACTCATTATGCAAGACCCTCCCCAGCATCCGTAAGGCAAATCCTTCCCACATCTACATCCACACCCTTCACAACTCTTCCCCCACTTCAAACCCCATAGTCACTCTCACCCCACAATCTGCAACTCCCCAAGCCCCTCCCCCCCAGCATCCAATCCCATCAGCGCCCCCACCCACATCGGCCCCCAAAATATCCGCTGCCTCTCAAACAAAGCCCTTGTCATTCACAACCTAATCCTGGATGAGCATATTGACATCCAAAGGCTCTTGGAAACCTGGCTGTCCACCAGTGACTCTGTTACCCTGTTACCGTGCCTTCAGCTACCCTCTCGACTCTCTTCCCCCTCCTCGCTGCCTCCCCTCACCCTGACCATTTCCCCCCTCCTCGCTCCCTCCCTTCCCTCCCCTCACCCTGACCATTTCCCCCCTGCTCGGGTCATGACCCAACTGTGCAGCGCCTTGGGACGTCCTCCTGACGTGAAAGGCGCTTTATAAATGGAATCTTGTTGTTGTTGTTGTATTGAAGCCTCCTCCCTGGCTAAAATTTCCACCACACCCTCCCCGCTCCAACCATCATGGCGGTGGAGTGGCCTTTATCTCCCAAACCTTTCTTAACAATAACAAGATTATATAACCTATCCCCCCTTTCCTCTGTCTGTTTCCCCTCTTTTGAGCAACTCACCCTCTACCTTCACCCCACAATCTGTAACCTCTCTCTCCTCTCTTTCCTTCAAAATACTCCTTGTGTACCACCCCACTCCCCCCCCCAAACCTCCTGGCTCCTTCCTCCTCTCATCCCTGTCCCTGTGCATTGAACGCCTACTCATCATGGGCAATTTCAACCTTCATCTCAACTGCTCCTGCCCAACTTCCTCTGCTCCACTGCACTACTCTCCAACCTAAATCTCATGCTCCATATAAACTCTCTGACCCACAACATTAGCCAGCCCCTAGACCATGTTATCACCCACAGCTTAGATATCTCTGGTCTATCCATCACAGTTAAGGCCATCTCCTCTCTCCCTCTCCTCTCGCATCCTTCTCCCCTCCAACAAGCCCTCCACCATCCTTTTTTGGCAATGGAAAAGGCTTTCCCCTGAGAGCCTGACAAATGTCCTCTCAACCTTAGACCTCCTCTCACTCTAGCCTTCCACCTGCAGCAACCATGATCGCCTCTCCTCTTTCAAATCCCTTGTCCCCATGAAATCCAGGGCCATCTCCAAACCCACCTGCTCCACCTGGTACAACAGCCATTTCTGCTCCCTAAAATCACAAACCTGGTTGCTCGAGCCAGGTGGCAGAAAACCAGCCTATGGTTCACCGCCAACTGTGGCTCGAGCACCTTTACACCTACCGCCGATCCCTCTCACAAGCAAAAACTGTATACTACTCAAAGATCATTCTGGAAGCTAAAAATAACTCCAAAATCCTATTTTACACTACCCACCACCTCCTCTGTGCGCCCCCTCAAGCACCGTCAATAATTACATGCAGCCCGTGTCCTCTCCCGCACCAAACTCTATGACCCCCATCTCCCCCACTCTCGCCCGACTCCATTGTCTCTGTATCCTTCAGATATTCCAGTTCAAAATCCTGGTCCTCAACTACAAGCCCTCAATGGTCTCGCCCCACCCTATCTCTGTGACCTCCTAACCCCCTACCAACCCGCCCGATCCCTCCGCTCAGCCGGCTCCGGCTGCTCCACATCCCCCAACCCACCCGCCCCACCATTGTCGGGAGAGCCTTCAGCCACTCTGCCCCCAACCTCTGGAACTCCATTCCCCAGTCACTCCACCTCGCCCCCTCCTTAGCCTCCTTCAAGTCCCGCCTCAAAACCCTCCTCTTTGACTATGCCATTGGTCACCCTCCTTCCCCTCCCCTTGACCCCAGGTCGCGTCTGTGGTGACAACCCTTGTTCTCTTCAGTAAAGCGATTGGGTCTAATTTGGTTAATGGAGGTGAGCAGCCTGACCGTGCTCAGCAATAAAAAAAATACTTCCTGGTTAACAACAACAACAACTTGCCCTTATATAACACCCTCCACGCAGGATAGCATCTCAGAGCGCCCAACAGTGGTGGAGCCTGACTCTGAGGAGGGGGAGGTGGCCACAAGCATGGTCAAAGAGGAAAGTTTCATGCGGGACTTGAAAGAGGGGAGAGGTGGAGCAAGGCAGAGGGATTGAGGGAGTTTTGGAGTTTAGTGGCTGAAAGCACGACTTCTGATGGTGGGGCGGAGGGTGCGAGGGACGAGCAGGAGCCGGGGCCAGTCAAGCAAAGTTGCCGGGTGGTGGATTGAGGAGTGAGGAGGTTGTAGAGGGAGGGAGGTGCCAGGGAGTGGATGGATTTGAACACTAGTGTGAGGATCTTGAAGTCAATCTGTTTGGTGATGGGGAGCCAGTGGAGCCTGGGCCAGAACTGGTGAGATGTGGGTAGGGAGTTTGGTTCGGGTCAGTATGTGGGCGGCAGAGTCTGAATGAGCTGATCTTGTGAATGGTGGAGCTGGGGAGACCGGTGAGGAGTGAGTTGGAGTAATCCAGGCGGGAGGTGACAAATCCATGCAGAAAGATTTCGACTGCATTTACAACAACGATGACAATTTGCATTTATATAGCGCCCTTCACACGGGAGCGTCCTGTGTCGGAGTGCTTACTGCTAAAGCAGGAAGTAACGTGTGATGTCCCGATGACCTGAAAATTGGCACTTTAGCACGAAAAGCCGGGGCCTGCGCGAGGGGAATGAGGGGCCGGCCATATCCATGCAATGTGAATGGGGGCCACGTTGTGACTGGGTTATAACTGAACTCACTCTCTAGTGAAGCATGTGAGGCGGCTGCACTGTGTGGCTCCAGAGAGGACAGAGCCAGAACGATCCTCTTTAACACAGACCCCAACAAGGGTGACAGGACACCCAGAGAGGATATGCTGGCAGGATCCCGTGCTGAACTCGGAGTCTCTATTTCAGCACAGGAATGGTGATTTGCGCCCAATTATGAATCACCGGGATGAAGAGTAGCATCGAACCCAGGATGGAAACAAACAGAAAGGTCCAGAGGAACATTCGATCCAGCACCTGGGCTACGAACCTCCAGTCTTCCACAACCTGCACAGGAGAGCGAGAGAGCAGTTCAGCCAACGTCTGCAGCAACAACAACAAATTACATTTACACAGGGCCTTTTCACGTCAGCATCTCAAAACACTGGACAATTAAGGGTTTGCACTCGAGCTGGGGGTTGGAGTCAAAGAGGGGTGGAGGGAGGGAGGGTGGAGGAGGGCAGATGGCCGAAGGCACAATTAAAGAAGATATGTTTTAGGAATGGGTCTTGCAATGGCAAGGGTCAGGACGAGGTGAAGAGGTTCTGGGATGGAGTTTCAGAGGGTAGGGTCAAGAAGTCTGAAGTCCCAAGGGCTGATGCCTGCAGAGCAGAGGGAGTGGGTAATGTTTTATTAGGAGCAGAGGTAGGATGGAGCAAGACCATGGAGGGCTTTGAAGATGAGGACATGGACCTTAAACTTGTTTATCTGAGGGATGGGGAGCCAGTGGAGCCGGGAAAGGGTGGGAAGTAGATTGATACGTAACTCAGTCCACTGCCAGATCAAAAGTGAAATTAGCAACAACAACTTGCATTTATACAGTGCCTTACACATGGGGTGGAGTATCAGAGCTCTTAACTGTGGTGGAATTTGACTCCAAGCTGGAGAGAGGGGGGAGGGGAGTATAGGTATGGTCAAAGAGGATGGTCTTCAGGTGTGATCTGAAGACGGGCAAGAAGGGGGCAAGGTGGAGGGATTGAAGCAGATAGTTCCAGCGTTGCAGGGTGTAGTGACTGGAAGTATAGTTGCCCACAGTGGAGCGGAGGGGACGAGGGATGTGACATGTAGCTGAGCCATACTCTGTGTTATGTGCTGCAGTAACACCACGCTCGATCTTCAACTAAAGGCCATGAAGCAATCACACATGAAGAAGAAATGAGCATTGGGTGAGGAACCAGAGTTCAACCATTGCCCCAGGATGTCAACAGCGTGTGAGGATACTGAAAGCCCAAACCCAGAGTCATCTCCCAGTGGTATTGATCTGAAGCACTGAGATTATAGCATTATTGATTAGTGACTGGGGAAGAGAGGTCAGACTGACTAGCCATAGAAGAGGATCGCAAGTATGAAATCCAACCTGGTCTTAGGCCGTGTCTTCCAATTTCACATTGCACAGAATTCTGGAAAATTCTTCAATTCATTTAAAACCCATTTTGAAACTCGGCTTCAATTAAAACAGAACTGAAGAATTGCCCTCAATTCCACACGGTCTTTATTTTTAAGATAAAATGGTCTCGCAGGCTTAGACTAGGCGGAATTTCAGGCCTGACCTGTGTTGTTGTTCCTTTGCACAAGAGGGCGCCCTTTCCTCATTATAGACAGTGTGATCAACATGTTCTATTTAATTCAAACATTGCAAACAGTGTCCTGGCCTCAAACACTCTTCCTGATAACCTGTTCCAGTCGTTAATTACCCTCCAGGCAAAGAAAAACTTCCTTGCGTCTGTCCTGAAATTGCCCTTCGCAACACTAAAGCTGTGTCGTCTCTTAATGTGGAGTCCTGTAGCTCAGTGGTTAGAGCACTCGCTTTGCAAGCGAGAGACCCGAGTTCAATTCCAGGCAGAGGGCGAAACCTTGGGCAAGTTTCCTTACTCCACACAGAGCCTAATAATAATCCCTCCAAAACAAAACAATAATAATAAAATGGTCATTTTCAATCCATGACTGTTTGTGGGACACTGCTGTGTGCAATTGGCTGTCGCGTTCGTCCACAAATATATACAGTCAATTCACTTTATAGCATATTCTGTGAAGCGTTTTGAGACGTCTCGAAGACATGAAAAGCGCTATATCAAATACAAGGATTATTATTATTAATGTACCTTAAGTAATTATCTGGATTTACTTTTTCAATCTCATTTAGTTTTTCATTGTTGGTGAGCGAGGTTAGGCCTGCTCACCCCCATTAATCAAATTAGACCACATTGCGTTTCACCAGGGTTGTCTAAGGGTTGTCCCCACAGACGGGCACCGATCTCCCCTCTTCTAGGCCCCAAATTGTCAAAGGGCAAGCCCGGCCTGAGCTCTGATTCCAGGATCTCCCCTTCCTCCTGTGAGGGCAGATCACACTTCTGAGGTGGGAAGTGCTGCAATAACCGATCCCAACCCACAGAGAGCTAAAAGCATAGCAGTTGCCAGGAGCTCAACCTTGACATTATAGCTTGGGATTCGTTGAGTGAGCCCCTGATAAGCGAAGCTCAACAGGAGAACTTTTCTGGCTGGTGCTAGCTCAAGTCAAGGAACTGATAAGAACAGATACTATGAAAGGCAAAATATTGCAGATGCTGGAAATCTGAAATAAAAACAGAAGACAACAGCACAGCTGACACAGATGAGGCCTGAAAATCCATCTAGTCTTAGCCCATGTGACCATTTTGTCTTAAAAAATTATGACTGCACGGAATTGAGGGGAGCCGGCGAGGCTGAGGGATTCTGGATTGGAAGGGTGTTTGAGGCCAGGACAGTGGGATTCATTTTTATAAAAAATCATTAATGTGGGATTATTATTTTATGATTAAATGTGAGACACCAAAGAGGGGTTTGAGCACTTACCTCTCGCACGTTACTCTCCTTCATCGTGTGATTTGCGATGTAGCGAATGGAATCCAGCGCCGCCTCCAAGGTGTGTCTCTTCACTTCTGTCCTGCAGAAGCTGCGAGCTTGGCATCTGTCCACACGGCTCCTCATACACAGGATCTGTGGAAGCTTGTGGAGGAAGAGCTTGCGAATCCAGGGTGCCATGGTGTTGTGTGTGAAGGAGGACCGATGGTGGATGTTGATCGTAAAGACAGTGATGACAATGGACAAAGTCACGAAGAACATGGTGAAGACCAAGTACTCCCCAATTAGGGGGATCACTTTGGAAGACGAAGGGATGATCTCCTCAATAACGAGGAGGAAGACTGTGAGAGACACGAGGACAGACGTACAGAGGGATATCTTTTCTCTTGCGTTGGATGGCAGATAGAACACGAGGATGGTGAGGAACGATAAACCAATACATGGGATTATGAGGAACAAAGTGTAAAACAAAGGCAGGCGCCTGATAACAAATGAGTATGTGATGTGTGGATACCAATAATAGTCATCGGTTCGGTTGCCTTTGTGTCCTGTTGCAGAGATGATTTCCCACTCGCCATTGTCGAAGAAGTCTGTTTTGTCCACCTGCTTGTCCACAAGCTTTATGTCTACCTGGGAGCCATCATATGTCCAGGAGCTGAATTTCATGGAACAATTCTGGAGGTCGAAGGGAAAGAAGGTGACGTCTATGGTGCAAGAGCTTTTGTAGTTTGCTGGCGGGTTCCAGGTGATGGTACCGTCATACCTAATTATCGATTTGGTCACTGAGCCTTCAAAATTTCCATCAGCGCTGAAATAGAACGAGAGGGAATCTTGGCTATAACAGCTGCACATACAATCATGTCCAATCTGACTGGCACTCGCAAGAGGCTCCTCGTACAGGGAACTTGATCTAAATTAAAAGCATGGTTCAGAGGCCAACCTATCTCTTAAGCAGTATGCTTTTTTTTACATTACAATAATCCTTGCATTTGAGTTGTCGCCAGAAGCAAAATGACTCTATCTTAAGCACTGTCCAGTGTATCGTTTGTTGTTGCCTGGAAATCTCTAGAAGTAATGATGCCACAACAAAATTAAATTTTTGCTGTAATTTCCTCCTGGTCTTTCACGTCAGGAGGACATCCTCCCGACATGATATCAATGATATCTTGATATATAGACAGATGTGAGATGGGTGTAACTGACTTATTAATCAGCACATGAATACCATCAGGTGTTTCAGAGATGTATCTGAACTGCACAGCGAATCTTTAGACTTCGCAACATTAAGTTTATTGATCGATTGGCACACGGTTCCTGTATTACTGAGGAGCAGAGTAGCAGAGAGGACACAAACCAGGCACGGAAATATTGTTTGATATTAAATCTATAATTTGTTCTGCCTGATTGTTCTGGGGCAGACCGTCAGGTATGGAGCCCAGTGATAAGAGGCAATGACAAGCGAGAGAGGAAACCTGGCAGACCACTCGCTCACTCACTTACTCACCATTCCACTAATCAATACTTTTATAGAAAGAACGTCCTCAACGCAGCGGAAACGTGTCTCTCTGAAAATCAATCACTTTATTATTATATTACACTTGTGCTTTCTGTGATGCTGGAAAGTGCTTTGAGTTTTTGAACATAAGGTGCTGTACAAAAAAGGGTAATAATCTTTTCAAAAGAAATAATAAATTGAAAATAATATTAATTTGGCCACTTCAATCCACGACTGTGTGTGGGACTGTTTTTGCCCCAAAAATATTCAGTCGATTCACTTTATGGTGAGGCGCTTTGAGACGTGTCAAAGACGTGACAAGTCACTATGTCAAATGCAAGCTTTATTATTATAATTGAGGGAAATACTTTGAAATTATTTGAAAGTGTACTTACTTATCATATAGAACGATATCTGGAGACCATATGGAATCAGAGGGCACACGGATTGATTTAATGCCTGCATACTTCTCTGGATCCCACTTCAATGTCACATCCATCCACTCCTGGTATGGAAAAATACACAAATTTATTTGTTCAACTTGTCTCTTTCATCTAAGAGCTGCCTTTACAGCCCCTCCGCCTCGCCCCCTCCCTTGCCTCCCATCTCAAGACCCTCACTTTCGACCATGCCTTTGGTCACTCACTTACCTCTACCCTCCCCGTCCTCCACCCCTCCTGATCCCAACCACCAACTCGGGTGTGGATCCCTGACTGCCCAGCGTCCTCCTGATGGGACATCCTCCTGATGAAATGCGTGGAGGGTGCTATATGAATCCAAGTTGTTTTTGTTGAAAGGCGCTGTACAGATGTAATTTGTTGTTGTTGTTGATGCTGAATGCGCTGTTTTAGCCTCAGAAGAACTGCTATGCGACAATTTATTCAATTTACCGTTTAACTATTATCCTGTTACCAAGTAATATTGACCTTTCTGTAATTGAATTTAAAAAAATTGCTACTCCTGTCAAACACCAGATGGCTTTGTTGTAATATGTTTTCCCTTTAGCCAGCTGGGAGGCTGAGACATGCAGAACTCTATTACCGTGATTAAGAGTTTCCAAACTAGACTATACATGTCTGCCATCTACACATGAGTGTGTGTTGGGGTAACTGCTAGAGTTTAACCAGCTAAAACCGCATAGCTTGCCATTAATATCGCTGTCTAGCAAGCTTTTCCGCTGCTTGTCCAGCTATGACCACCGTAGCCGTTAGGGTTTTGGCTTCCAGGGTTAACAGGAGCTGAGTGGTAAGAGTCACTGCCCCAGTGATGAGTCTACACGTCCAAGTCCTGCCGATGTGCCAGGCTGGGCTGTGCTGTCATAAGCAGTGTTCCCCTGGAATACTGCGGACCCACCTGAACACCTAAATTTGAAGACAGGACTCTTGCCCAGGCTAAGACTGGGAGGAATTTCAGGCCTGAAATATTAGTCCCCAATATTAGTCCAACTAATGAGTGAAAGTGGATAATGTGACATTTATAGACTGTGACTTTCTCTTCCTCCCGTGAACACAGGAACAGAAGCTGTGGATTTACTGTGAGGAGCTGGAGCTCATGAGGGCCCTTGGGATAGTGATTGCTCTGTGTTCTCTCAGACTAACAAGGCTCTCGGTTGTTAATCAGAGCGGCGTTTGTGAAACAAAGTCAGTTTTGCTCCAGCTTTTTATTCTGTTGCTCAGAAAAATTACTTCCCAAACGCCCCTCATCGTACATAACAATAATTCTTGGGCAATGTATAAAACTGGTGAGAAAATCAAATCTTGGTGTGTTCTTCACTCTCAGTTAGTAGATAAATAAAATAAATAAAATACCACAGTGAAATGTCACCGGCATCGCTGAGTATGACTCATAAACAGCCTGATGTCAGGAAAGGGATGAACAGCAGAGCAGCGTCCCACAAACAGTCGCGTAGAGGGATTTAACGTTTCATTCGAAGTGCAGAACCTCTGACAATGCAATACGTGGGGCTTGACCCCACAACTTTCTGACTCAGAGGCAAGATCGCTACCACTGTGCCAAGCTGACAATCTGATGGTATAATTGACGAGGATCGTTACCTGTTTCAGCCAAACATTTGTTGTCATTAGCTGGTTCTTTTCATCCTGCAAAAGAAATGTTAATTTCAGGGTTTCTATCAATTGGAAAAACATATTAACCTGTGTGAGCTTAAATATTGAAGCAAAGCAACTTGACAATGTAAGACCACTGGGAAAATTTCTCCAACATTTACAATACCACAGATGCCAGACCTCAATGCCGGGGTGAATTAAGTTAAGGAATGCATTAAGAAATACTGCAAATTGTAATAATAATAATCCTTACATTTGATTCGGTACTGTGTCTTTCCCGTCAGGAGGAAATCTCAAAGCACTTCACAGGATTTACCATAAAGTGTAGTGACTGTGTATTTTATGGTGAACCCGCACTTTGCTTACAGTGCAAATGACCAATTTATTTTGGGGAATTGTTGGCCAGGACACCAGAGAGAGAAACTCCCTTCTCTTTTTGAATAGGGTAATGGGATCGTCACCATCCACCTGAATAGGCAGATGGAATCTCAATTTAACATATCGTCTAAAGGACGGCACCTCCGACAATGCAACCCCCAACCCCCATCTTTACATTGGATCATCAGGTTAGACTGGTCCAAGTCCCGACATGGGGGCCTGACCCACAGCCTTCTGACCCTGAGCTGAGAGTGTGACCGACTGAGCCGGGATGACAACCGTATTATGTATAACAAATGGTGAAAGAAAGGGTAAGAATGTTTGCCACGCACTACGTCCACAAGTTGGGAGATCGCAAGCCCAAACTTCACATCCACTGTGTCCTTCATGTGATCCACTGGCCGAACCGACTTGTGATAATCCTGGAACAGCTTCTTAAACAGCTGGTTCTCTGCCTTTGCCAGAGAGAACAGATCCGCCACACCTGCCCAACAAAGAGAAGCACTCCTGTAACAACAACTTGCATTTATGTAGCTCCCTTCATGCGAGGTAGCGTCCCAGAGCGCTTGACAGTGGTGGAGTCTGACGCCGAGCCAGGGGGAGGTGATCGTAAGCACGATCAAAAAGGATGGTCTTTAGGTGGGATTTGAAAGCAGGGAGGGAGGGGGCAAGGCCGAGGGATTGAGGGAGAGAGCTCCAGAGTTTTGGGGCATAGTGGCTGAAGGCACGGCCACCAATGGTGGAATGGAGGGGACAGAAGACTGGAATCAGCCAAGTGGAAGCAGCGGGTGGGGGCTGTAAGCAGATTGGAGAAGTAGAGAGGTGTGAAGGCGTAAAGGGATTTGAGAAATTGGTAACATTTTTCCAAGGTGCTGTAAGTCTGTATCGCCTCAACTGCACAACAATTGGGAGGAAAGTGTTTTTTTTTTAGATGAAGCAACTGTACACTGCATTAGTCAGGTCTTGTGATATTGAATTTCATCTCAAGGCAATTAACTGTGACAGATTCACAAAGCCGAGGTTTTAATGTTATTCAAGCCCAAGCCGGTGGTTGTTCAGCCAAAAGGAATTACAGTTTCCCTCTCTTTCGTGATTTCCCAATCAATTTTAATAGTATTACCATAGGAGAGTTTCCTATTAATAAACCCAGCACTGCCAAAGTGGTTGATTTACAGAGAAAACTTTGATTAATTGTCCCAGGTTGCAAGAGAGCATGTCTTTGTTAATTTAGCCTCCTTACCACTCTCCCTAGCTCCAACCTTCACAAAGTCCAACTGATTCAAAACTCTAGCGCCCACATCCTCAACCTCACTAAACTCTGCACCCCCATCACCCCAGTCCTCGCTAGCCTCCTCTGGCCCTGTCACAGAACGGGTCGATTTCAAGATTCTCACATTCACCTATAAATCACACGCTGGCACCTCCCTCGCTCTCTGACCTGAACATAAGAAATGTTAGATGAAAAAAGACCAAGATCCATGTAGTCCACCTTCCACCTTCCTGGTAGTCGTGTGCACATATGTCCCAAACTACCCATGTACTGCATCCCATAATGTTATTTCCTAAAATAAAACGATCTAATCTGGGTTTGAAAAAAATCAACATTTCCTGCTTCTTTAGAATCTTAGACAGCAATCATGTCAACACTCAATCTTCTCTTTTCCAGGGAGAACATGCCCAATTTACTTAAGACTAATGGGCTTTGAGCCAGTTAAGGCGGCTTCTATGTCTCCCGCCCGACCATCGGTGGCCGGGCTTTGAACCTCTCTGCCCCCACACTCTGGAACGCCATCCCACGGTCCCGTCGTCTCGCTTCCTCCCTCGCCTCCTTCAAGGCCGGTCTCAAGACTCTTCTCTTGGATCGTGCCTTTGGTCTCCCTCCCAACTTTCTGCCTTCCCTCACCCCTACACCCCCCTTCCCCCATGCTCAGGCCCCGATACCTGACTGTTCAGCACTTTAGGAAGTCCTCCCGATGTGAAAGGCGTCTCTGTAAATGTAATTTTGTTGTTGTTGTTGTTGCTGTTGGACAGCCAGTGGCGTCTGCCACGGTGGGCCCGACGGAGGATTCTCAGGCTGGAATAGAGGGAGGCTGAGGGAGGGTCGAGGAGGGATAGGAGGCGAGGAGGGCGGTGAGAGAGAAGGATTGAGCAGGAGGGTAGGGGCAGGGGTGGGAGTATTTTTGGGGGAAGCAGCTTGGGTCGGTGGTGACAGCCAAAATGCGCACGGCGAGACTGCCTCCCTTGGCTATTGCACTGTGCCTGGATTTGGGGACAGTTAAACACGACGGAGCAAAGAAAGCAACAAAATCAAATGTTTTGGTACCAGACAGAGAGGAAGAGAGAGAGCGTGTAAGAGAGAGAAAGGGAGAGGGAGTCTGAGAAACAGCAAGAGTGCCAAAGAGACCGACAAGAAAGTGAGATAGAGTGAGAGGGGATGAGAGCAAGAGAGAAAGAGACAGCAAGAGAAAGAGAGATTAAGGGAGTGAGAGACAGTCGCAAGAGAGTGATAAAGAAATAGAGTGAAAAAGAAAGTGGGAGACAAGAGACTGAGATAAAGAGTGTGAGAGAGAAAGAGCAAGAGAGATAAAATTTGGTAGCAAGGGAGAGAGAGAGAGAACGAAAAAGAGACAGAGAGAGAGAGAGAGAAAAGAGATTGTGAGAAAGAAAGAGAGGGAGAAAGAGAGAGAGAGAGATAGAAAGATCAAACACTATCCCACCTGCAGTTAACTGGACGCAGCTCAGACACACGACAAGCAGGTGAACTCGAGTGATGTGGGGTTCCATCGTGTGAGGTTAGGGTGTGGAGCAGGTCAGACACGAGCAGCACTATAACCTGGGGACGCTGGCTGCAGGTCAGGCTGTGGTCTGGGGTCTGCCTCCCCCCTCAGCACCAGAGACTGACCCAGCGCTGCTACTAACATAGGCTCTCTCTCCTTCAGCACCTTAACTCTGTCCTGCTTCCCTCCACACTGTCATCAGCCACCTTAATGCAGTGCTGAATTAAAGTTCTATCATGATCTGGGTGTGAGGCTGGAGGGGGTGGTGGGGGAGGGAGCTCTCTCTCTCTCTGTCTGTCTGTCTGTCTGGTACCTAAACATTTGATTTCATTGCCTCTCTCTGCTCCGCCACTGCCTCCACTTTACAGTGTATCCTGTGAAGCACTTTGAGACGTCTCGACGACGGGATATGGCGTTGTAAATAAGAATATAAGAAACGTTAGACGATAAAGACCAAGATCCATCTTGTTTGCCTTCCAACCTTCCTGGTGGTCGCATGCATATAATGTCCCAAACATCCTGTGTACCTTATCCTATAATGTTATTTCCTAAAAGAAAACCGTCTAATCTGTGTTTGACAGATTCAACGCTTCATTGCAGTTTGCTGTATGTAGTGAAAGGATTATTACTATGATTATTATTACGCTATCATTAAGATTTGTCATAGCACCCAGGAAAACATAAATACAGCAATCAGAAACCGTAACGGTTCAAGCCCCATGACAGGACTTGGAATCACATAGTCTAGGCTGATACTCCAATGTAGTGCTGGGTGAACTCTGCATTGTTGGAGGTGCCCGTCCTTTGGATAATATATTAAACTGAGGCCCCATCTGCCTATTCAGGTGGACATTAAAGATCACACCCCCTTTCCCCCCCACCCTCCACACACCCCTTTCCCCACCTCAACCTAATCCCTCCCTTGCCCCAGGAACAAGTGGACGCTGCACCTCCACACACCCCTTGTGAAGGTCACCCTCAGCCCACTGTCCTCCTCAACCCAGATTTGTGTTGACCCATGATCCAAATTTCCATCCAAGGTGCCAGGCTGTGAGGTGCCAGGCTGGGCAGTGCCAGGCATTTGGTGACCAGAGGTTTTACCTCTGTGCCTTATTGCTGTTGTTGCGGAGCTATCCACTGCCCCGAACCTCTCCGAGGTCTCCCAAGATGCAAAAAACATCACTTGAACCCATAACCTTCTGACTCAGAAGGCGAGAGTGCTACCACTGAGCCAGAGAAAATCTGTAGCAGAGGAGAGAGAGCGTAAGAGAGGGGGAGGGAGAGAGAGAGGCAGAAAGAAACAGAAAGTGATTCAGAGTGAATAAGAGAGAGACAGGGAGAGATGGAGAGACAGCGAGAGCAAGTAAGTCAAAAAGAGAGTGACAGTGAAATCAAGAGACAGCAAGAAAGACCGAAAGAGATAGTAAGTGTGAGTGAGCAAGAGAGAACGAGAGAAAGAAATACTTCCTGGTGTGCGTCCTATAAAACTATGAATCCTTGTGCTGTTTCAGTGCATCCGAACATTTTGTGCTGAGTTTACTTATTCAATCTTATTTAGAATCTTGTACACCTCAGTAATGTCCCCTCTGAGATGTCTCCTTTCAAGACTGAAGAGCCCTCGCTTGTCTCATCATTGCTGAGAGCTCCTTCCTCTAACACAGAGCTGTCCGTGTGGATACAGTGACCCTATTTTAGCCACAATACAGGGAATTGCAATGCACATGTATGTATGAACCCGTGTTCGATTCTCAGGCAGAGCGAAACATTGGGCAAGTTTCCTTGCTCCACATGCTTCTGTTTACCTGGCATGCAAGTAGGAACCCGGTTGTTAGTCGATTCACGGGTCGCATTTCCGCAATTTATTACCCTTCAACAAATAAAATTTGGTCATTCAATCCACAGCTGTTTATTGGACACTGCTGCGCACAATTGGCTGCCGCGTTTCGCCTACAAAACACACAGTCACTACATTACATTCTGTGAAGTGCTTTGAGACGTCTCGAAGACATGTTAAGGTGCTACATCAAATGCAAGGATTATTATTATTATGTTCACATGTATGTTTACTTAACAAACATCCACCTCTATTCAGTGTGAGATTTTGCAGTCTTCTCTTTATTTTTCTTTTGCGAGACTCGCCAGACACGCCTCTCGTTCACCAGGCTCCATGACCCTATCACCCCCAATCTCGTCCGACTCCACTGGCTTCCCATCACCCAGAGAACACAGTTCAAGATCTTGGTCCTCACCTTCAAAGCCCTCCATGGCCTTGCTACCCTCTACTTCTGCGACCTCCTAACATTCCATTAACCTGCGTGCTCACTCCGCTCAGCGGGCTCCAGCCTGCTTCACATCCCTCGCCTCGCCCGCTCCACCATTGGTGTGCAAGCCTTCAGCCACTCTGCCCCCACCCTCTGGAGCTCCATCCCGCAGTCTCTCCGCCTTGCCCACTCCCTTGCCTCTTTCAAGATCCATCTCAACACCCTCCTCTTCAACTGTGCCTTCGCTCCCCCTCCTCCCCCTGTCATCCAACCTCCCCGATCCCGACCCACACATCCGAAACACTGACTGTCCAGTGCCTTGGGACATCCTCCCGATGTGAAAGACGCTATACAAATCATGTTGTT